GAACAAGTTTCTTCCCTTCTCTGTGCTCCAGCTTCCTAATCTGTGAAATGGAGATGGTGATGCCTCCTTTGTATGGCATTTGAAGATCCAACATTTATATCCCAAATACTAATATGAGAAGGCAGCACTTCTGCAGTGCTACCATAGTACCATAAAGGGGATTAGATCTCCCAAAGCTACAGTTTATTCACATGGCCAGGTGGAACCTGAGGAAGGCTTAGAGCTGTCTGCACAAAAGAGGTGGCTTTATATATGTAGTGCCATCCTTCAACAAAATGTGTTTGAGTAACTTAACTCAAAAGGCAGGGAAGGCAGAATAGCAATGCTAATTTTCTTGGAATTTGCCCAGGCATTATTTGTTAATAGCTTGTCTGCCTCTGTTTCTTCTTCCTTGCACAACTTGGGGTCACCCAGAGGTAGAGAAAGCAAGCTGATGGCTGAGCATGACTGTCTACATTCTCTAATAATGTAGCATACCCTCTGTATGTTTTAAGAAATAATAAGGCTTTACTAGGGCTTTGTTTCACAAATTGCCTGTTATCCTCTAGAGCAGGGGTTCTCAATCCCTGGGCTGCGGCCCAGTGGTGGGCCACGGCAGGGTGGCTGCTGGTCCACAGCACAGTTGGCTGCTGGACTCTGTACCCCACCAACCACGCCGCCGCTGCCGCCCCCCCGCCCCTGCCAGCTGGGTGGAGAGGCTGTGGCTCCTTCCAACCTAGTTCAATTGTGTGAAGTTGCTGTGAGGCTTTTAGCATTCTGTGTCTGTTTGTAGCTATCACAACTTAAATTTAAAACTTTTTTTTATAATATATTCCAGCAGGTCTTTTGGGTAGGCCATGATATTCTAAGTAAAGATGTTTTTTATTACTGCTACCATGACTACCAGCACCAAAATTATTCTATCCCATTCTTGGAGGTGAAGTATCAGGCAAAGAAAACAAAAATATTGAGCAAGATGTAGCATAGCTTAGCCAATTGTGCTGGACAAGAAATACTGCCCGATGGATGCATTGTGCTTTGAAGAAGCATAGCAATGAGAAATTCCACTGAATTTAATGCTTACAACTGCTTAAATGAGCAAGAGCATTTCATGCCAAGAATCTGTAGAACCTACTGGTAAAGAATCAATTTAGAAGTGGCTGGTATTTTTTTTTTTCCTTGGGGGGAAGGGGGAGAACAGTGCTTTTCATTATTCTTTTTGACCTCGCATCTTTTTCATTTGTAACTTTTATTTCACTCACTAAGATTTATCTTCATTTGTGTTTTATACCCCAAGTGCTCTGAGAGAGCATTAACATAAATAATGCTAATATATTTTTGAGCATTTAGAAGATGTTTCATGAAAATGCAGAAGCACTCTGTATTTTTCATAGGTTTCAATGAGCATGGAGGGAAAAGAGAAGAGTGGTGTTCTTACAGAGGTACTGTCTAAACGTTCTGCAGTTCTAATGTTGCCCTGTATTAGTCTTCCTCATGGTACATCTAATCCATTTTTTTCCAATAAACAAGTTAGTTGAATAGATAATGCTCATTTTTCAGTTGCATTCCATTGAGCCTCAGGATGCCATCAGTCTTCTGGTAGGAACCCTTCACAAAAGCCTACTCCTAGAGCTGATGTATTGTGGAGTTAGAAACTGTGTGTTACAATGATGGCAGGAGGCTTGATGCTATAACTAGAAGCACTTGAAGGGCATATGGGGTCTACATCCTAAAATAACAGAACATTGAAATGCTTCCAAACAGCTGATTCCCACTCAGAGCTACAGGCAAAAATGCACCATTGCAATCCCTGCCAGAGCCTTTGTTACTATGCCCTCTGAAAACTATATTTATGTAGATATATGATCAGTTAAATGTATTTCCACATCGTGCAATGGAAGCTATGATTCCAGACACCTGAACTGAGACTAGAACAAAAGGCCAAAATGCATGGATGTCTTTCTGTTGACTGAGCTTTGGATCAGGTCCTTGATTATCTAATAGGACCTTTTAGAAATCTAATCTATATTTCTAGTTCTACAGACTTTAACTCCCAGCCATTGGTTCTTGTTTTGCCTTTATCTGTTAATGTGAAGTAGGAGCATATGACCCAGAGCAGTGCAGCAGGACGCTGTGCCATGGTAACAAGACTCAGAAGCTTGCCCTGCCACCAGAATGCCCCTGTATTCTCTGCACTGCTAAGGCAGGCTGCTGTGCCCTTGCCACAAAGCTCCTGGAACCTTGTTGTAGCAACTGAGCACTTCTCCTTGCTTTCTGCACTCCCCTAGGTCAGCCCAGAGGGGTGCAAGGAGTAGGGGCCATTCTCCTGCTCCTTTAAGGGTAGGGATGGCCCAAGGAATAGCCCTCTAGTACCCCCTGGCTGGAGAGCTTGCCTGCAAAGCACTCCAGCTAAGGGATTGGAGGAACATCTGTACAGTTTGGCTTCCAGGCTATTTTTCTGCTGGAAGAAATTTTGGCCTCAGAGGCTGCTTACAGACCTTCATTTCTACTGGAAGTAACGGGGCTAGAGGAACATCTGTATGGTTTGGCTCCTAGTTTCAGGAAGGCAGGGACCATTTGTCCCAGCTCCCTAGTTTTGGGAGCCAGGGGAAAGTGTACAGGTGTTCAGTCTTCTGGAAGAACCTCTTCTGGGAGCAATTTATCTGGTTGTCTGTACTTAGGCAAAGTTGTCAGTTACCATGGAGATGTTTGTGGTGCAAGCCGTCACAGGATGGGGTCTCCAAGGATGGCCGTTATCTCCTAAGGCCCCTTGACTCTGTCAATTCAGCCTGATGGGCACCCTCTTTTCTCACCTGCCATGTCTTGATGTAAATGTAATATGGGGAGACTGCCTTTAAGCCTACTTGAGCACGGTCCTGTTGGACTTCCCTGAACCCTGTGGATCCCGGACCCCTCGTGGGTCCCATTTCAAAATAGATGTCCTGGGGACACCCCAGCCTTATGGGCTATATGTGTAGCTCCAACTGTCCCTTTACCATGCCCCAAGCCTCACAGATGGCATTGACATTGTGCGGTCTAGGCCTTGCTACGATTTGGCCCCCTTGTCCTCTCTGGGTTCTCCGCAGCCCTGTTTCTGTGCACCTCAGGCCGCGCCCTCGCTGGTGCCGGGGTCTGTGTGCCCCA